TTATTATTCCTACTGGCTTTAATCTGGATATGAGGTCATTTCGTTGACTATTAAAAGAAATGTAAAAAGCTGATCAAACTAGTGAGTTTTAAAATGCTAATGGGTATAGCTGACAGATTTGTCTGGATCAGGGGTGTCACATTTAGTTTTCTATCACATTGAATTCCAAAGCTGGGGTCATGACCCCATTAGGGGCCTTTGATCAACCCATATGGGGTTTGGAGATCCACTACAGAAATTAAACAAAAAAATGTATATTAATGGATTTATAAAAGTGTAACTTAAAAATGGATTAAAACCAATAACTTTGGTTGTTGATCCTGTTTTAATATCATTAAATTCAAACCTTGTTTGTAGGGATGTTTCTATACTTAATAAGTAGTTACCCCTTTATAGGTAATAAGAAGCAGAAAAGTATGGCCACTTTAGCATTATTCATTTTTGAAAATGCTCTTCATAGCTGTATAAAGAAAACATAGAATTACATAATTTAATTATAACAAGGATAATACTCTAGTATATAACTTTACTCAAATTTCTTTATGCAGTTTCAGGCTTGTTGTACATTTTCAAAGAACATAGTTTTTAATTGTATGACATGAAATGCCCTTTTTGCCTTTTGCGGACCAAATAAATTGCTGTAACAGGTGGTATTGGCCTGTGCTCCTTGTGTTTGACACATATGGTCTGATTCAAAGAATTTCATTATTTTCTAATACTGCTTACAGTATTTGTCCAATAAAACTTGAAATTTGTGTAGAGCTTTATTTTAGTTAGTAAGAGTATTATATCTTTGTCAAGTTAGGTTTATGTAGCGTGCTAGTTGTTTGTATTTGTAGCTGTTAGTTTGCTAATGCCTCAAGAAAAAGAAATACGTCAATTTCTGTGTGAGGCTTTTTATTCCCCCTATATGCTTAGTAAGTTAAAAAATATTCAGTCAGGGGATTTGAAGTGGAAAAAACGACTTCTAACATTAATTTGTCAGCCCTCCTTGTGCATAGCTGTTTTTTTTTTAAGTAAGGAAGTTGTTTTTGCTATTAAAGATCTCAGCATGTGTTTTATTTTTTTTTAAGTAAGGAAGTTGTTTTTGCTATTAAAGATCTCAGCATGTGTTTTATTTATTTGCGATGCTTATTCGTATTCGTATTCGTGCTTATTAGTAAGATTATTTTAAAGCAATGATCTTGAAGAGTTTGAGTGATGTTTTTAATAACTTGGTCTGTTTTAAATTTCACTCCAATAGAGGGATTCTTCAGAAGCACTGCTAATTTTAATCTTTATTTTAATTTATCAACCCTGTTTAATTAACTTCTCCTTTTATTTTTAATATCAATTTTTTAAATATCTTATATCTTCAGAGGAACAATATAATCACAGAGATCTCAGCATCTTTTTGACCCTATTGTCGAATGCACACCTGTATATACTTGACTTTATTTCTTTGAGGTTTTAATTGGTAAAAATAGCCCCTCACAGTATTTCAGTTTCATAGCGATCTGTTTCATTACCTCCCCAAAGGTTTTTTCTCACCATGGTTTTAATCCATCTGAGATTTGAAGGACATATTTAATGAGAAAATGAAGATCAATAAGATCTAATATTCTATGTATGCAGCAAAGAAACTTTACCTATGTGTACATAACAGGTGAGCAATGTGGGCAAGCTCATTAGAATGAAGAAGAGTACAATTATATGCAACTTGTATCCTTTTAAAACGCATTTGTTATTTTTGATAAATGATAATCCATTATAAATTGGACCTAATTGTATTAAAAATTCAACATCTATTAAACAGTAACTAAAATTTCCTTTTATCTCTGTCTTCCAGATGAGTCTTGCCCTCGATAGAAACCAATCATCTTCACCAAAATTGCCCATGAGATGAGATCATCGACATTTATCTAAAAAAGTTTTATTGTCTTTTGATTTATTATCGTATCATATTTCTTTTGACATGTTTAATCTAGAATCAGCTCAGTTGAATTGACGCACTTCTTAAAGGGAGACATTTAATTTAAGGGAAACTGAGGGACGGCTTTGAATGTTAAGCATGGTACATATTTTCCATAAAACTCAGGTATGCACTGCTGAGTGATGAAGATTAAATGTCTATGCAACAAGAAGAAAGTATTTTATTTTTGGGGTAATATATAATTTCTTTTATGTTTGTCTTTCCAGTGATAGTTTTCTCAGAAAAATAGATTTCAAGCATTTTTATGTCATCTGGATTTATGTGCCTGCTGGTTTAGCCCATACAGATGACATAATTAATTTAATGGAATTTTTAGTTTGAAGCCTGATAATAATCCTCCTCTCACTGGGTTTTGGTGCAATGTGTGACATGATTGGTCTTATTTGAGCTTTTATAGGTAATTTCTGTTTACAACATTAGGTTGTGAATATGGACTCAGGTAAAGAATTTATTTTTGTTTATTTTATTGTCTATATGTTGACTGAATGGGTGTCCCTGAGAGAAAGCTTTATTAACAACCCAGATACCAGATGCACTTCCAGATATTACAGCTGAGTTTGGACTTTCATGGTGTTTTATAGAACCTTAAAATTGGAATTGGAAACAATTGTGCAAATTATGTGCATAAAATGGTTTTTCCATAATGGTGAAGGAAGCTGGCTTCAAAAGAGGAAAAAAAGCTAATAAAGTTTTTTGAAAACAATTTCATGTCCGTTTTTTTGGTGGGATTGTGAGAGGTGGGGGTAATAGAAATGTTTTTCCAATACTTTGTAGTTTTGATCATAATTACTGTTTCAAAGTGAATTTTTCCAAATGATTTCAGTTCCCATTTCACTGTAACTATTGTGAAATGCTGCAATTATAAAAAGAAATTATGAAAGTAAACCTATTTGATATATTAAAATATATTTTTGGTTTAAATGGAAACGTCTGGCTCATTATATTAAAACTTGGATGGAGGCATATATTAAGTTTGTCAGGAGTGAAAAATTCTCCACAATTTCAAACAAAAACAGAACATCAATATTATTAAAGGATATTACAATTAATACTTTGTTTTACTTTTTTAACAATTATTCTAGTGATCAAATTAAGAAGTAATTACTTATATGCAGTGATGTTAATAAATTTAGAAATACCTCTATGAAATTAATAAATAAATTCTGAAAATATGTTAGTTTAATTTTATGTCATGACCCATATAACTATGTAAGTTATATTTGCTTGTTTATATATAAATCAGGTGTCTATTTGCCAAGCCATAATAGACTAACACGGGAAGTGTGAAATAATTACATATGTGCTAAAATGATTTAAGAATATTTTAACATGCAGTTATTTGGAATTCTGACTAATTATTTTATTAACAAAATATTTCTTTGAATTTTAAACACTTTTCCCTTTAGGAGTCACCATCTGTCTGCATCTCACCCTATCTTTTGTATTTATTTCTCTCACACCAGCTACCTTCAATGCCTAATTAACTCCATTTATAACTCTCCTCTTCGGTCTTCCTGGCCTCAGTTTTCCTCAACATCCATCCATCCATTTTCTAACACGCTTAATCCCAAGCAGGACTGCTGGTGCCTATCTCCAGTTGTCTACAGCCAAGGGGCGAGGTACACCCTGGACAGGTCGCCAGTCCATTGCAGGGAAACCTAGAGACAAACAGGACAAACAACCATTTTTAAATGATTTTTAAAATTTAGAGAAGCCAATTAACCTAACAGTCATGTTTTTGGACTGTGGGAAGGAAGCTGGAGTACCCAGAGAGAACCCACACATGCTCAGGGAGAAAATGCAAACTGCAGAAAGACACCGGGCCAGGAATCGGACCCGGAACCTTCTTGCTGCAAGGCAGCGTTGCTACCCACTGCACCACTGAGCAGCCCTTAGTCAGCATCCATCTACAGATATACTCTCAAAACCCTCTTTCTATGCAAACCATCTCAGTCCTGCTTTTCTGGGCTTCATTTTTTAAACATTTATGATCTGTCCTATTCATGGATTAGTTCATGGTCCTATGCATTTCCTTCACTCGCAAAGAAAACTTCATCATCTTCATCTAATTTATGTTCCCCATCTGCTTCCTATCTTTTTTTGTACCAGTCTCAACATCATACTGGTCTCTTTCTCAGACCAAATCTCAGTCGCTCTAGATTTTCCTCCACCTATTCCCTGATATTTCCACATATTACCATGTCACCTATCTAAACTGTAGCCCATGAACATTTATATATAACCTCATTTGTCCCGTGCATCACCAGAACAAACCAGAGGGGATTCAGGCCCTTATGTAGTCCTGCTTCTTCCTTGATTGAATTTATTACACATAAAGCAGAACTTAGTACTATCTTATTGCTCTCATATGTTTTCCACCACTGAAACATACTTCTCTGCCATTAATGTCTTCATTCAATACAGCTTTCCTCTTGACACACCCTGTCAAAACCTTTTTAATAGATCAACAAAGACACAATATGGCTGATTTTGACCAAATCCAGGCAAATAGGGGATGGGACTGTCGACGAGTTAGATTCAGGTAAGATTCCTAGTTCCTACCTACATCAATATCGTTATTAAAGCCAGCTTAACTCCTTCAGCCAACAACTAGTGTGGGGTGAGGAGGCCACTTTTATTTCAGGGTGGGAGGACATATCCTGAGGGGTAATTATTTGATACCTTTACCCAATGAACTATTACATAAATTTTTCAAAAATTTTAATTTCAAATTATATTTTTTTGTGGGCTGTAATTTGTTAATATTTCAGTGTATTTTAAAATGTAAATAGTAAATAATTTAAAGATTTACTTGGAAGTATTAATTTAATGCAATGCAATACTTTATTTAAATAATAGCACATATGAATATTCTTTAAAAAATAAAATGTAAATGTTATGGCCATTTTGCGGCTGAGGTTGTCTTTTCCTCCTGGGGGCTCAACAGCGACAGCTTTTGCCCAGACATGGTACTGCACCTCGAGTTCGCGGGTCCGTCACGTTGCTGTTTACGGAAACATTTTACGTCAGCACGTGTGCATCGACGGCAGCAGGGCAGGCAGCAGCAGCAGTAATCATCTTCGAGTTTCTGTGCACTACGTGAGGCACTGCATGCTCCACAGAACAACAACAGGAGAAAGGAGGTGGGGGAGACGTGTTGTTTTCCGTCCAGAAAAGACAACTTCTCCTAAAAAGTTGTGTGTCGAGCGATGAAGGCCGCCGTGAGGCTTCATGGCGGAGAAGTAGGAGGAGGTCAGAGCTTCGCTTTGGCGATTTGACCCTGCGCGGTCTGAGCTATTAACGTCTGTGGACATAAAGGAGAAGGTGCATTTTTTTTGTAAAACACATGCTCCTCAGAGTGTGCTTCTGATCCGAGGAAATATGATTTTCAAGAATATTCAGCCGAGAACCTGCAGAGCATGGCTGTCTCTGGTAAGGCTTTTGTTTATGTCGACTTGTTTTCGACTGACGAACAAACGAGCAGATATTGACTAGTTTTCACAGCAACACAGCCGATAATTGAATAAATAGCAGCGCATTTTGTTTCTACGGAAGAGGATTAGGGCCACTGAAAAACTTAAACAGTTAACTAAAAAAGTTTACTAATTTTTTACATTTTATTTCAATTTAATATGGGAAAAAGTCAGAATCCTGAGATTAAAGCCAGAATTCTAAGATTAAAGTCAGAATCCTGAGATTAAAGTCAGAATCCTGAGATGAAAGTCAGAATTCTAAGATTAAAGTCAGAATCCTGAGATTNTAAGATTAAAGTCAGAATTCTGAGAAAAAAGTCAGAATTCTGAGATTAAGGTCAGAATTCTAAGATTAAAGTCAGAATCCTGAGATGAAAGTCAGAATTCTAAGATTAAAGTCAGAATTCTAAGATTAAAGTCAGAATTCTCAGATTAAAGTCAGAATTCTAAGATTAAAGTCAGAATTCTGAGATTAAAGTCAGTATTCTGAGATTAAAGTCAGAATTCTAAGATTAAAGTCAGAATTCTCAGATTAAAGTCAGAATTCTAAGATTAAAGTCAGAATTCTGAGAAAAAGGTCAGAATTCAGAGATTAAGGTCAGAATTCTAAGATTAAAGTCAGTTTTCCCATATTAAACTGAAATAAAATTTAAAAAACATTTTTTTCAGTGGCCCTAACCCTCTTCTGTATGCTTCTATAATCTCCTACAATTTTTGCTGCTACTCTTGACTCTGGTAAAACTCCACTGTAAGTCAAACCAGGTGTCCAGTAAACAGGCAATCATGCTTTACTCCGGTTTCTGCAGGTCTCCCCTAGGCAGGAGCCATGTTTCTACTCCACTGTCCCCCCCCAGCCCGTGCCCCCACTGAACCAGACGCTGCAGGGCTATCTGAGGGCTCTGGAGCCCCTGCTGCCCCCAGATGAGCTCAACCACACCCGCAGGACTGTGCAGGAGTTCGGGAGGCCCGGGGGGCTGGGACCGCGGCTGCAGGAGGGGCTGGAGAGGAGAGCCAGGAACACCAAGAACTGGGTGTGTGAAACAGACACAAGCTGTATATGGGACAATGTGTTGGTACTATTGGTTGAAAATAAAAAGATAGAGCCTAAAATGTTCATGTCAGTTACAGCAGTAGGTAACACAATATTAGGATAGAAAAATAGAATAGAAAATCCCTTTATTGTCCCACAATGTGTAAATTCTGGTGTTTACAGCAGTAAAAGGATTATAGAAAAAAAAAATGGTCACACAAATTTGGACCTTAGAAAAATGTATAAGAATAACATACTAGTGAAGAGTTAAAAGAAACAATAAAATACTGTACTGTAAAGTGTTTTAACAATATACAACTGTGCACCTGGAGAATAAATAACCAATATGCAGCTATGGACATATTTACAGTAATGGATATTTAAAAATAGCAGCAACATCAGAGATGTGCAAAATGATAGCAGCATGTTATTGAACTGCCTAAGATAGAAACTGTATTGACCCTCGTGTTTGAAATATTTGCCTAGTTTTTTAGAATCTGAATCTTGTTTTTAAACACCAAATATTAGAAATTAAAATTGTTTATCTAGAGATTTTATCAGTTTGATTTATTTTTTATTTATAAAATAGTTTTCTATAGTTTTTTTTATTACGGTAAGAAATTAAACCAATTTTATGTTTTGCTAACAAATTTAGGGCAGCGATGCACTGATCCAATACTCAGATTTCATACTGGATACCGATATTGAGGAATTATCTGGGTCGGATTTTGAATAATTGCAATGATCCAGTAATTTCTATGTTCACTGAGATCAGACACAGCAAAACAAATGCAGAGATTTAGTGGCTTCAGTTTTATCACATAAACACTGGTTGTGTCATCGTGCAGAGCTCACACAGGAGCGAGAGTCTTAATTTGTTAAATTTTTTTAACAATGTTAATGTTAAACATTGTTCCTTGACTTGCAAGGTAAAACATATGGTTAATTCACTCAACCCATCAGTGGCAGATATTGACCAGTACACTCAGTCCATGTATTGGTATAGGATTTAGTGTTAGAAAATATGTCTGCATATCTCTAATTTAGGGTATAAATATTAAATTTGGGCTCCCAAATAATTTAATTCATAAATATGTTATGAATTAAATGTATAGAGAAAAGTTGGCTAAATATATGTGGTAATTATACTGTATGAACATGTAAGTGTGTTATATCAGTGCATTCATATATCTAAACAGAGGTAATAAAATCTCTTCTTATTTTTAGATTTAAGCATAAATGTGTCATTTTAGATAAAAATAGAACAAATTATATAGAAACATAAATGTTAGAGATGAGAAAAGCGTAAATATTGGATGCCTTTCTTCTTTTCATTTGGCATTTCCGAGGGAAACATTATGGAAACGGTTCTAATAAAAACATCAATAGACATTAGATCTGTGTTTATAGAGGAGGATACAATATGTTCTTTTAATTCCCTCACTGAAATCTGAATTGTCCGTCCAGATCACAGACTGGTGGGTGCAGTGGGCGTACCTGGAGAGCAGGCAGCCTCTAGCGGTGCACTCGAACCCGGCCATCTCTCTGCCCCGCCGGGATTATAACGACTGGAGGAGCCAGCTGCTGTGAGTTCTGGGGCTCAACAAAAGGATCATGACACTTACAGTTTGGCACATTGAGCAGCGCCTGAAATGAGCTCTTTACTTGTGGAGTTCCTTATCTCTGTTGAAGCCGTTTGGCTTGTTTTGTTTTGGAGAGGGGTCAGAAAATAGAACCATCATTTATCATGAGAGGATGCATTCTGAATGATGACAGTCTAAGGTTAAAGAAATGTTTCCAACAATGAAGTGAAATGTGCATTACCCCTATTGATGTATTATGCTTTATGCATCCTTTTCCTTTAGAAATCAGATTGAATCTGTTTAAGTGAAGTGCAGCATCTCATTTGTGTTGCACCTATAAAAAATAAATTAATACTGCTCTAAAGAAATACATGTGTATTTTTAATTATTTTTTTTTTACAATTTCAAGAACAATATGTTTGAACACCCTAAATATATGACATGATGATAGCGTGTTTGTTTCTCCTCACAGGTTTGCATCCAAATTGATAGCAGCAGTTCTGGACTTCAGAGCCAAAATGCACAAGTGAGTTTTGTCGTTTAAATATAACTCTGTAACTCCAACACATACAAGTCATTCCTCTTCGCCTGTTCACGTGCTGCAGGCATCCTCTGCACTCTTGTTGTTGCCTGTCGTCTTACGTTTCATCCAGCTGGCATCGCTGTGTGTTTGGCTCCTGTATGAAGTTAATCTGTGGCTAAATTTACTTGGACTGACTGTAAGAGTATCTGCAGCTCAGTACTGGGATCCGATCTGAAACCCTAATAGATAATAGGATATGAATATCTTGTTTACCTCTGATGTGTATTGGTTATAGTTACCATTTATTTAAAAAATGTTTTTTGTATTTCGATTTGAGGACTTGTCTTCTATTTTATTTGATATATTATTTTCTCACAATACTTTTAACTGATGCCTTTTAGCCTAATATAAAGAGCCGATTTTAATCGTCAGAGTTCTACAGTTATTAATCTAATTTAAAAACACCACAGCTGTTTTGCAAGACAAGATGAGACTTTACATAAAACCCTGTTGAAAAAGTCTTAGTCCACTCTAGGGATTAAGAAACTCAGAGTTGCAGCAGAGGGACATTTTTAGACGACCTGCAACCTCCAGTTTTTGCCTGTCCTAAATAGAGTGAGAGGAGTTGCAACTTTAAAATGTCTCAAATGAAACATGCAGTTTTTCATTTTAGGGTTCAGACTGATTTATATGGGAAATTGTGCATTATGAACAAAACATTTATATATTAATAATTGATACAGCGAATGAAGATATATATCGATCGATATATATCGTTATTGAATTATCGCCCAGCCGTACTGTGATGGTAGGATAAAGAAGACATTTTATGGCATCCCAGCCGTTTGGACTGTACCATCTATTTGTTGTGAGACTTGATGACCCCTAATTGTCACTCTTTGAGGATCTCTTAAGCTGAGCTTTTGCGATGCCACTCTTCACCCCTACAATCCTCTTAACTGCGTCTGATGGCTGGATAAATGTGGGTTGTCCTTCCCACAGTGCTCTTTGTTTCATATCATATTTAACTTAGTGGGAAACAGGAAGTACAACATAAAGTATCAGGCTTTTGATGGATTAGGCCTTCTAATCCATCAAAAAGGGAATGTATACAATGAAATGCATTTATATATATTGTAAGGGGTGCATTAAAAGTTTTCTCATTTGTCTTAGATTCAGTGATGTACATTTGTAAGCCATAAATTGTAATTTTCCTAGATTTTCCATGGGACCTAAATTACATCAGACTTATGACAGCCTGTCACCAGTTCTGGGTTATTTTAAACTTCTCCTTTTGACTTTTTGAATGCAATTATTTTTCAGAAATACCCTGAGATCCATGTCTTGTTTTGGTTTAGAAATTTAACTATCACTATTGTTACAAAACTATAATTTCAAAGTTAAATTGTGTTCCTGTATCCACTGCTGTCAGGGAAAATGTTTAACCTGTCTGGAATGTGGCCATTTTTAAACTGTTAGAGGAAACCCCCCTAAGTAAACAACCCCTATGAGGATATTGTAGATAGGAAAGGTTTATAAATAAATCAACAAGGTCACATGCTAGCGGTTAAAGAAAAAGCAGCTTGTTTACTTGCTTATATAAGGTAAAATATGGTTTTAAGCAAGTGAGCTGAGTCGGTGTACTTAACTTTGAATGGTAGAACAAAAGTGTAAATTGGTCAAAGTGCTCAGTTTGCAGGACTAGATAAAACTGATGTTATACCTTAAGAAAAGGCAAATATTTAAAAAGTCATGTCACTGCACTTTATCATGACTTTTTAAAAATATTATTTTAGATTTCTAGTCTTAAGGCTGGTTATACTCCCAGCAGCAGTGTGTCGCAGTGAACTTGACACAGACATTTTTGATTTAAGCTCAAGAGAATCAGGAACCAGCTGTGGGTCTAGATACGGCCGAGGCAGTGAGGAAGTGGGGGCGAGTTTGTCCGACAACGGAGGGACATGAGGGCAAAAAAGGGATCCAGGTGGAAAAAGGGTCCCAGCGTTCTCGCGCACCTTGCTCTTCTAGCTGGTCCATTTTGACGAGTTGTTTTCCGCAGTTGCAGTCATAAAAACAAAACAAGCCGGCCTTCTGTCTACAGCACTGTCTGCAGTGACCTACAATTTGGGAGAGGTGCAGCAGAGTGTCTGAAGAGGGGCGGGGAGGTCTTTTTGTTCACTGGCACACCTACGCAGAGTCTAGTTTCAAAGTATAAATCAGCCTTTAACGTGCTTTAGCATCAAAGCCACTAAAATATACAATAATGGAGCACAATGAAAGCAATGAAGGTCCATTTAAAATGCTGGATATTTTTTGTTCTGTAGAGAGCCTGAATTTTGCTACTGCATGCAAGGTTAATTTATTCCAGCAATATTTCCTACATTACCGGTAATATTGCAAAAGTTCTGATTCAATATACTTTGCAGCTCTATATTAAAGTGAAATGAATGGGGCCTGACACTCACCCCTGTGGGACACCTCTACCAAACCTTTGAAAAAAAGTTTCATAAGCAGCACCATACATGGTTGTTTTGTATTTGGCTTCTGCATTTATGAAAATAAGAGAAAAAAGAAACATCCTTTATGTGTATGGCAAACTGAAATAAAAATACATTTAGAAAGCAAAAAGTATTAATAAGAGACAGCACAGCAAAGGAAAACCCACAACGCAATAAAATATACTGCATACCCCACTGCAAACAACACTAAAAGTCTTCAGCTCTGCAGGATGAGTTTAAAATGTGTTAAAAAGGTGCATGTATGTTCTTGCTGAAAAAAGGCCAACATATTTTTCACATGATTGGAAGAAACAATCTAAAACAGCTGAGATGTAAACATTGGTTGGGTTATTCTGTTGATCATAGATGATGTATAAAGATTACGATGTGGCTGCTGCTCTCTTGGCTGGCCTTTACACAGAGCTCATTGCTGCTTCATGAATCTTTGCCAGTCTGGCAATGACAAAGTGAACTCTACACCACTATTTTTATTGGGATAAACAGAGGATAGATTTCCGGGGGTGGGAAAGCACAGTAAATTGCTATATCTAGATCTTTATCCCAAACTGGTCTTTCTTTTTACGGCTCTTTTAGCACAGCAGTGGGAATAACATGTTGGTATGTTTTTGCTTTCTTCCTCAGTGGCCAGCTGCCAGTTGAGTACATGCGAGGGAAGCCTCTGTGCATGGAGCTGTACCCGCTCCTTTTCTCCTCCTGCAGGATTCCCGGACCTAAACACGACTTTGTCTTTCACTACGCAAATTCCCGGCGCCCTCCAACACACATCACAGTAGTCAGGAACTACCAGGTGGGTGGTTTCGCTATCTTTAACTCGGCATCAGTTTTCAGTCAGACTGCTGGCTCGTGTTTTGTTTTTACTGGTGCTTGTTTGGTTTCTTGATACCTCCCTCCTGAATACATAGTATTTGGGGTTATTCAGGCACTGATTTGTGTTGTGATTTTAAGCAGATGGATAAAATGAAACGGTCTTAATCACCAAAAAATCCTTGAAAAAGAGGAAGGAAAACCTTCAGAGATGAAATGTCTCACCAGCAGTTTGACAACCTCTGAGACTACAGAGGGTTCATGTGCTAAATACAGCATGGGATTCTTTTTATGTTTGAAATGAGTTCAGACTGGGCCAGGGTTAGGTTGAAGTCCCCGTCATATATTCTTTTCCAGAGTTTGCAGAAACTTGGATTCAGCCAGAGCAGCTATTCTTCTGGCTGGCCTTTAAACAACATGCTTCACTGTCCAATAAATCCTCACCAGTCTGGCTTTATTCAAATGAAATACAGCCAGACTGGTGAGAGGCCAAAAACACAGTTTTTGTTGATCATGGAGTGACAACGGTAATCTTTCAAACCCAACAGAAAGGTCAGGATTGAAGGTAATTCAGTTTAATTAAATTCAGTATGTTTATATATCGCCAATTCACAACACATGGAAGGCCCTTTACAGAGACAATTTAACCAGATGATACAGGTAAACTGATTCAACGTTTTCTATCTAAGGAAAACCAGTTTCTTGCATCGACTCATTAACTCGAAAGTAATCCCTCACTCCAAGCATGCTTATAGCGACAGTGGAGAAGAAAAAACCCCTTTTAACAGGAAAAATTTCCAACAGAACCAGACACGGTGTGAGCGGCCATCTGCCAAGGCCGAGTTGGTTCAAGGAAACAGAAGCAGACATGCAGAAATAAGCAGAGATACAAACGACAGGTGTCAACAAGCTCCACAGGAAACACACAGCCAGGCAGACAAGCTCCAAGCCAGCTTCCATGTCAGAGGATGAAGAGAGCACATCCAGTTGGTCACAGTTAGAGGAACAGAAGTACATTGAAAAAGAGGCCCAATTCCAACATCTATAAACAAAGGTGTCGATGGCAGCAGCACAGCTGATATTTCTCCAGGATGGTGTCACAGCCAAACAGGAACAGACCACTTTGTTGAGAGAAAAAGCAGAGAGAGCACAACGTTAGAGATTGAACTAAATCATTCTGCAGAGTGGGAGAATAAAGATAAAATGAAGCAGAATGATGAAAAGGGGTCCCTATGTCCTCCAACAGTCTAAGCCTATAACAGCATAACTATAGAGATAGTTCAGGACAAACTGAGCCACTCTAACTATAAGCTTTATTAAAAAGGAAAGTTTTAAGCCTATTCTTAAAAGTAGAAAGGGTGTGTCTCATGGAATAAAACTGGTACCTTTCCGATTTTGAGTTGCGTCCACGTTGATGGTGGTAATGGCCTCATAAATATCAGAAGTTTATTTTCATTTTACCTTCCTATAGTGGTTAATAAAAAATAAAACGTTTTTCTGAACTTATTCAACACTTTTCTTCCCAAAAATAAATATAAAAGCCTTGTGTGCTTTATCTAATCCAGGGGAAAAGTTGCACTTCAGACCCAAGTTTGTTCTCACAACCTCTGACGTAATTCAGGTAGAAAAGATTTGGCCACTTTTCTATTTGGATTCAGCTTTGTAGTATAGCTTGTATATTTTGAACCGGATTGAGGTCACAGCTATTCTTGAAATTTCTCAGTCTGCATTTTTAAAAAAAAAAAAATAGTTCCGATTTGTGATTGGGACCATTGCAATATTCCAACACGCATTTGTGTCCCAAGTTTAGCAACCATTATAGCTCACATCTTTCATAATTTGGAATCTGCTAGAACAAAAGAACCACCAAGGGCCTTTCTCTAAAGTTTATAGTTTCAGTGTGCACTTCAGGTTCACTGATTGAAATGCTTGACCTTAAAGTAGTCACAGTGAGGCTATTAAAGCAAAGAGCAGTGACCTCGGCAATCGTGCATGGTGCTGGCTGCAGCATTCTGTGGGACTATTTCTCTGAAGTTATTGAATCCTCACATTTGTCAGAGTAAAACAGTGAGGAATAGCTTGAATTTCTTCAACTTCACTCCAGATCAACATGGTTTAACTCCAAATATGGTGGACAGATATTTAGCTTGTATTAAGGCTGAAGATTATTATCTCCGAAAGGTTTGTGGTTAAGTTGCAAATTGTTGTTAATCCGGGATGATCCACTATGAATTCATATACATTGTCAATAAGTCATTACAGTTTTAAGATAAAATCCTTTCATCCCAACACAGAACTTCAAAAATCAACTAATGAAGGATCATAGTGAATTATAGCATTTCTGATAATGACTCTTGTTGGTTTGGACTGGAATAATCTCTTTTCACTTCTTCTCACCATTCATCCCTGGGGTCTAGTTTTTCCAGCTCGAGGTTTACAACAGTGACGGTTCACGGATGACTGAGAGTCAGATTCACAGTCAGCTGCACAGAATCAGAGCTCAGTCCTGGAAGACCGACAAGGAGCCCATGGGCATCCTGACCAGCGAGCATCGGCACACATGGGGGGAAGCGTACAACCGCCTACTGAGAGGTTTGATCACTCATCATCTCAAACAAGCTTGCCAAGTAGTTCAGTGGTAATTCATTCTCAGTCAAGGGTTAACTGTTCATTACAAGAGCTGGTGTAAAGCTAGACCACAGCTTTGGATTAGAACGGTATAATTATTAATTTGGTTAATGAATGTTGATTATATTTCGTTAAACAATAATGAATAAATATGTTTTGACTAAGAAGGTTTTTACTAATTACGCAACACCTTTTATTTATTAGGTGACAGCACTAAAAGAAGGACTTTCCCAAATAAATCATTTAGAGGTAGTATCCTAAATGTTTTAATTTGTCCCACCTTTCAACAAAAGATTAATTCCGTTTATAGCAACGGATGCATAGCGTTGTTTGACTAGAATTGGGGACTGCTGGTATAAAAGGTTTAACATCAGTATTTTTTAGTGTCCTATTCTTTAACAGCCTTTTGTGTTTTAAATTTTTGACTGGAGTTTATTGAGTGCAGTGTATTATTCCTCAATAGTATTTAAATAAACCCTTACACCAATTAAGTGATGCAAGTGTTAGCATGCTAATGCCAACATGCCAAGTCTAAGGTTGATAGTTGAAGTATATTTTAGGGATTTCTTTTAGATTTCACTTTCTTGCTAGACACACACTTCTTTTGCACATCTAAAACATGTATCTTCTTTCATCTGAAAATGTAATTTACTTTTTCTGTAAAGTAATTACTGTATTTTCTCTCTATTAGATTTAGATCTTTCTATTTTAGAATTTCTGAAAAAATATCAAGTGTTATATCTTAGATTATAAACTTCTTGGTATTTTGATAGTAATTCTACTGTCTTTATGCTAATGTTTGGGTGCTAAGGCTAATGTTAGCTACTATTGTGGTTTCTGGAAGCTTCTCTTTTTTGAATGTCTTATTTTCCTGTTAGGCCTACGCTTTCAAGTTATGCACTCATCGAACACTGTCTTTGCCTAAAGTACTTTTTTATGCTATAGCTATTTAAAAAAAGTTAGAACAAACAATTACCTATAGGCTACATATGCTAAAGGTATAAACTATTGTATTTGCATATTTTGTTGATGTATTTAAGACTTTAAGGTAGGGCAAATGCTGTGTTTAATGAAAGGAATGAACTTGTTGATAATTTAGTCTGAAATTTTTATTCATTTAGGTGCAAAAACCAACGTTATCATGCAAAGGTTAATGCTAGCATGGTATGGAAACGGCTGTAGGATTCAGGAGTTTAACTTGCAACTAGATGGCCAATGGTTCAAACCCCAGCTCTGGCTGCGTCGATAACTGTGTCCTTGGGCAAGACACTTAACCCGCATTTTCTACTGAGAGCGGTCATAGGGCCCGACGGAGCCTCAGTCAGTGCGCCCCAGGTTATCTGTGGCCGCATTGTAGCTTACCACCAGCAGTGTTGTGACTGAGTCAATGAGACTTCAGACTTCAGAAGCACTATAGACAAATTACCATTGACTATCAAACATTACCATGGTAATATTAGTCTCCAGACCTTATTATTTCTCGACTGTTAGAAGAGCTAGGAGAATATATTTAATGCAAATTTGTGTTTCTTGCATTGCAGTTTGAATGTGACGTCGTGGCGAGATAATTTTTTAACTAAATCGTCATTCAAAGGGTTTATTTTTCTTCCTATCTTTGGCTCATTTTCAAGTGCTTGCTGTTAGAAATATAAATATAAGCTTCATTTAAAGAAAGTATAAGTGACTTTTGATGTTAGGAGGTATGGCTAGGACATAGTTCTGTTTTTTGTTTATGATTAAGATTTGATTTAGACATACTTTACCAATTTTTGTAGGCTTTCGTAGTTTTGCCAGGAAGTTCAAATGGTTTGGAAACGTATGTGAATAAAGGAGCAAAGGTGGGGCTATGCAGTTGGTATACCATTGCTGTTGCAAACATGCCGTCATAAAGTGTTAAAACTTTCTCCATTCCTTTATTTCATAGAGTGAGAATATAAGAAAGGAAAATTTCAATCCCACAATAAACATTCAATCTATATCTTGATTCATTTTAGGCATACAAATAGAATAAATGTAAATGTTTTTAATATTGTCTTAAATCACTGTCTAAAATTATCTTTAGGCTCTCTTTAATTTAATTTTTATGTTTCTACTTCTGCAGACAAACTCAACCAGGAGTCTGTGCGGATGATAGAAACAGGACTTTTCTCCCTCTGCTTGGATTCTCCTGTCATGAGGATATCTGATGAGAAGTATGTGCACAAGCGCACATTTCCAGGTGTTTCTGTGTTTGCTAAATCTATTGCGTAAGCTTTTCTCTGCAGATATGATTGTGTCGTATGTTGACGTTTGCTGGAATGAGCAATTGTCTCTTCCTGTATTTGAACTGAAACTACAGATTGTGAAACGCAGACTCTGTGGCGTCAGAGTTCTGAAAGAATTGTGTTTAATAAATTTGCTTTTACGCTTTTCACCTTGCAGGTACGCCAGCCGTAAAGCAGCTCAGATTCTGCATGGCGGCGGGACATACTCTAACAGTGGAAACCGTTGGTTTGACAAAACACTGCAGGTGGGTGTGATCACATGTAGAACAACGTACGAGGAGCTGATTGAATGTTGATAGTAGGCTGACTCTGACCTGTGTTTGTTTAAACAGTTTGTGGTAGGCGAGGACGGCTCATGGGGCCTCCTGTATGAACAGGCCACAGCAGAGGGCCCACCCATAACAAACCTTCTCCACCATATACTGGAGTACTGGTGAGATTAATGTCAACATGCTTTAAACAACTCTTAGCACTACTGCTACTATCCCCACTCACAACTACTATGATGGTTAAGCATCGATAATTTTTGTATTGTTGGATATGGTTCAACCCGTTTTAAAGGGTAAATCTGGAAAACAGCAAGCAGAGTCAGTAACAAGTGTTTAAAATGATTAAACCCTTTATTTTAACTATCAGAATAGCTGTGATTTAGAAAAAGAAGTACACTCTTCTATACATCTGTGTCCATTTCCTGTCTGCCTTTATCTATGTTGTTAATAAAGATTGCTGCAGGGCTCTCATAAAGGCCTGTCACAGCATTTAAATGAGCCAGAGGTCTGGACTCTACTAAGCCAGTGCAACAGCAAAATAATTGCCCCACATAAGACTCTATATCGGTTCTTTGAGATTGCTGAGAGCTGTTAGTGTGTCATAGGGCAACAATTCTAGTTTTATAATTTAGAAAAAGAATATGACAGTGGCTCAGGAGGTAGGTGTTGGTCCTCTTACCGGAGGGTTGCCAGTTTGAGGCCGCGCTGTCTGCCTCAGTTGTAATGACGTTGGCCACTTTACCCACCTTCCACCTTGCTCTGGCTACAGTGCAGCATGGCACCGTTGGCTTGGGTGGATGGCTGAATTTATAAAAGTACTGGTCGTTTATATTTCACCCGGAGAGTCATGGTAGCATTTTCCAGCTCTTTTTACCCAGCTTTTTAAACATTTATGTCACCAACATCTATGTTGCAATGTATTCCGGTGTTCATGCCTGTAGTGAATACCTAAAGGTAGCAAAGCAGGCTTATTCCACCACTGTGCATGGCAGATGGTTTGTACTAACATGCTGATGACTGGATCTGTTAGAGATATTTATCTGTTTTTTGTTTTTGTTTTTTGGTTTTGTTTTTCATCCGCAGCTTTTCAAATCTGTTATTGATGCAGCCATATTCCTTTTAAAACGAACATGCCTTTGTTTTTTTCCTGCCCTGGCATAAAACTTGCTAACTGGTGTCTGTTGAGTCTTTGTCTTAGTCTTAATTTGGAAGGCTTTGCTAGGACGCCCCCTTCTGGGAGGATTAGTAATCTTTTTAAAACTATTTAAATTTGGCCAATTTTAGGCAATTTACATTCAAAATGTAATAGATGTCATATTACACCGTACCTTTGTTAAAAAGTAATACATTTATTTATGATATTACCCTAATGTAAGGTAAGTAACTTTTGCCAAAACAAACAATTAGGACAGGCCCTTACCAAATAAAGGATCACAAAAATATAACATGGCACACAACAAAAACTTTACAGGGCATGACAAACAGTTCTCTTTCTATGCCTCATTTATTAGCTCCTGAGTAAAGTGCAGCCTCACAAGGTTAAAAAAAAAAAAGTCAAATTTGCATGAAGTAAAACATGAAAGTAGTTTATACTATTTTAATGTAAACGTTAATATTATAATTAGTTCAAGTATAGCCACTTGCAAAACATTGAACTGATTATTGTAGGCCACTTGCTGTCTTCTTCTGTTATTTTAAAACCCTCCTTTTCTTAATATGAAATGAGTCTTCTAAAAATAAACAAAAAAAAAAGTATTGTTTTCTTTATTTAGGTTGTGGGTCGTGTGTTGTTTATTCAAAACTGACTTTTTGGCTTGTGGAGCATTACCAGCGTTATAACTAATAATATCACAGAAATTTAGTTTTTAACAAATTATTTTACTTGTTAATGCCTGAACGTAGTGTATTACGGTAATCCGTTTCTTGTTTAACTTGTTACCCCCATATGGCATTAATATGACATATTCAGTTGTTCCAGATTCATTAGCAGCAACATTTATTTCTCTAAATGATTTTTGCCAGAAGTTCTGCGGTTTTTTCAGCGTTTGCATAAATGATTAATCTATTGAGTCCAATTGAAGCAGTTGGGGTGTACCTGCTTTATCTTTGTACACACAACTGTTCTTCCTTTGCTTTGTTTTTTGTGTATTAATTTGGGAAAATGTCGAATCTGTTGAATTTTTTTGTGTTAATTTTAGAATTGAAAGGGTGTAACCGATGCCATCTGACAAACGGGATGTGTTTAAACCTCCGTAGGCTTTTTTCCTGGAAGGTTGTAATACTATCACGCCACATTGATCCGTCTCACAGGATCTTTACAGAAGAGACTGGAGGATGTTTGTTTATTAGCATTGATTCCCAAATGGAAACTCCAAACACAGACCCAGATAAAAGCCATCTTTCTGCTGTAGACTCGAGTTCAGATGCACTGCGGTAATCTGAAGTAAATCACATTAATCCGGACTTTGTGACTCTCTCTTTGAGTTTCACGTTGTTTTCATTCATTCATTGGAAGTAGCCTTAGAGAAGAAGCTCTGCAAAAACATTTCAAGTAAAATATGCCCTTTAACCCTGAGCTGAACATAAACAATTAAATGTTCTTAAGTTAAGTTTGGAGAAAGAGAATCTGGAGAATTTATTGTATTTCCATAATAAATTGCTACTCAGTTATTCCAGTCAATAAAAGTCAAGTCCATCTAACCGTCCATCTTTTCTTTAATATCTTCAATAAAAAGAAATATGGGTTTTGTCTGAAGGTGCATTCAGACCTAGTGTGGTGCTTTTTGTAAAGGATCACAGATATTAAAGATACATTTTTAAGTCACTCAGAGGTCAACTATTCTTATGAAATTGTGTGATTTCATAGAAAAGTTCAGATTTTTCAACTTAAGCGATCACTGGTTCCTCTCTCTCCATGCGGTGCTGCTGTTTGTCAACACCTCAGTTCTACTGAGTAGCAGGGTGGAGTGGAGCAGAGCACCATCATCGCAAACTGTGCCCTTCACAACGCAAAGGGGTTCTATTTAAGTCTGCCGCACTCTGTCTCAATGCACCTTAAAGCTGCAGCCAGATGCCCAAACATTTACACAGTTAACTTTTTTACTTCCAGTGAAGGAAGAGGATGGTAGTTAATATCATTAGAAACATTAAACCAGGAGATTTTGTGTGTTCTTTTTTCTGCTTATGAATATATTTGTGTTTTTGTTTGCAGTGAGAAACCCGACCCAAAGAGAGCTCCACTTGTTCCTCTCCCGATGCCCAAGAAGCTCTACTTCCACATAGACCGAGACATCAAGAGGGACATAGAGCAGGCTAAGCAGAACTTAGACATGTGAGCCGTCTGTTACCTCGCTCTGTGCATGTTTTATCCTAAAAAGGATGAGGTCGAGCCTCAGCTTTGTCCTCCTGCAGCTCTTTCTCTGAGATTTAGCAAAACTGGGGAGTAAAAACCACACAAGTTTTTAGCAAATTTGTCTTGGTTTATGAAAGTCATTTTTTTCTTCACAGCCAATAGTTTCCTGACAACAGACCAAACACAGAGCCTCTATACTGGGCTGCATAAATCATCCATCTGCTGAAATTGTAGCGAGAGCTAAAGCCTTTTTATTCATCTGATATTTACTTTATTGTGGACTGAGGGGATATTCAGTCAAATTAGAGACATAACAAACTGGAGATTAACTGTTGCTGGCCGATAGTGGAAGCCAGGTTAACAGACCAGCTCTGATGGATCAGTTTTTTTAATGCTAGTTTTTAAAGAGTTTATAGTTTCAGCACCATAAAATAAAGGCTTCTGGTTTTAGTAAACTCCAGACATCACAAATGCATCTTGATGAACGATGCCTTCATAGACTTGAAAATTTCAGGATTTATTGCCTTTGATGCATTTTATTGAGAGGGCAAAAAACAACCGAAATGTTGTTTTCTGGCTGATTGATTGGTGAATCTCTTAAAAGTATTTTTTGTTTTAATATTTGAATTATCGATTATTTCAGATCATTTTCTGTTTCTAAAATCTTAACTTTTACAAATCCAGGTCTGCAACAGTCTGCAGTCAAATGTGCTGCTTTAAGTGAGCTGCAGGATTTTGAAGAATTACAAGAAACATGGCAACAGCAAGACAGTCAGTTGATGCAATCATTTGGGTGGATCAGGGTTACTTAAAGGTTGCAAATTAACAGATTGAGACACATTATGATGATGGTTCCTAGAAAGCTGGGTCCCAATCTGACAAGAAAGCAAATGTTGTAAAATCTAAACAAACAATAAAAATAAAAGATGAATAGGTTCATGCTTAATAATCAAAGTCGGAAGGAACCTTGAATGATTTGTTGTTGTTGTTAAATTAAGATGGCTTGTTTCTGTTTTATTTCACCTTCAGATTGATTAATGACCTCGACGTCCACGTCTTCAACTTCAAAAAGTTTGGCAAAGAGCTTCCAAAGGAACACAACATGAGCCCAAACTCCTTCATCCAGGTTGCAGTGCAGCTCTCCTACTACAGGTCAGTAGTAGTAGGATGAATAAAGCCTCTATGTTTAAGTTTTGTGGTTAAACGGAGGAATAGCAGAACATGTAGGAGTCTATAGGGTACCGAATGGATTTGGTACCTTTCTATGCCCATTAATTACTCATGCAGCTGAAGTTTTACTTTGCACAGACAAACATTTCTTGTAGAATAGCTGCTGTAATTTAAGGCACGGGCTCGGCTCACACAGATATCTAAAATGGGCTGCTAAATTATTGTTCTATCAAAACGCTTCATTCTTTTTTTTTTTTACAGGGATTCAGTAAAAAAGAATCTAAAAATGTTTTAATTGAGGGGAGGCAGATTAAAAAGTAGGTTTGCATGTTAAAAGCTTAGGGATAGATGACAAGTGTACAAAATATAGCCGGGACTGTTACTGTATACTTTTTTTTACAAATTTACTAATTTTATACAAATCTAAGAAGTTGCTTAAAATTAAGCAATTTTAAAATATAATGACTGATTTAACATCATCTCATTGCAGAAGTACAATAAAATGTGCAATAATATGAGCTGAAACGTCATTGTTTAAAAAATTGTTCACCATCATTACTGCTCCACAGTTGCAAAGCTGTTTTCTCCATAATGTTCATGCGTCTTTTTTGTGAAATCCGATTTTTTTTTTTTTTTTGCGTTCCCATTTACATTTCCAAATATATGCAACTTGTAAGTGATCTCCTGTGTGAATTGCAGTCATACAACGCAAGTGTCCCGCATGCCGATAGAGGACGCAATGACGTCACAGGCCAGCGTGCTCTATGTTTACGGAAGTAAACATGGATGGTAGTGCCGGCGCGCATCTAGCGGTCTTTTCCAACTACAAAAACTTAATGTGATTAAACATCAATACTGCTCTCCGCATCATCATCTGCTATGGTTGTTGTTTTTCTTGCTGCTTCTGCGTAGCAAGACGCAGAATAGTGACCTTTGTCAGGTATTAATGACGTTCGGGGATCAATCCAGCCTGGTCGTTCAGACACAGGTTGCATTTGAAAAGATCAGATTCGTATCGGATTCACGACCACATACCCAAGTGGCCTGGGTCGGATTGGAAAAAATCGGATCTGTGTTGTTCAGACTGCCATGAAAAGATCAGATCCAGGTCGCGTATGGGCAAAAAAAAAGGATTTGGGGCGCTTCAGGCTGCAATGTGAACGTAGCTTAAGTGTTCTGCAACAGCTGCAAACACAGACTAGTTCCTATTGTCTGTGCCTGCTGCAAATGAAGTGTTTAACCACTTGAGGGCGCTCTGCTTGTTTTCCGATCTAGGTTTAACCAGTTTTTTTTCTGTCACTGCAATAAGCTGTGTTTGAGTTTGGAGAAGTTCTGATGTCCAGAACCATTAAATGAATCTTTTTTTCAGATTGTAATAAATATGTCATTAACATTTATTCAACAGACATTCCTAAAAGGGAGGTCACTGTATGTTTACAATCTTTAAGCTTTTTGATGTTTGCCTGCAGAGTTCACAATGAGGTGTGTCCTGCCTGCGATATCGCCTCACAGAGGATGTTTCGAGGAGGAAGAACCGAGTACATCCGCTCGCCGACCAATCAGGCATTAAAGTTTATCACGGCTTTCGATGATCCAAAAATATCGGTGAGAAACAGTTTTTTTTGGCTCTTCCTTATCTTTCTGATGAAATTCTATAGATCTGAATCGTTATATTTTCTCCACAGAGAGAAGCAAAGCTGGAGCTGCTCAGAGAAGCTGTCAGTGCTTACGCTGAGCTGACTACACAGGTAAACGCATCTACATGGTGCTTTTTTTCTAGCTTGATATATTAGCTTCTGTTTTGAAGGATGATGATCTTTTCTGCCTGATGCTGCTCAGGCTCTTAAGGGGCATGGCATTGACCGCCACCTGCTGGGGCTCAAGCTGCAGGCCATTGAGGAAGGACTCAGCATTCCCAAAATCTTCATGGACACCGCTTATGGCCTGGCGACGCATTGGAAGCTGCGGACAGGACAGGTCTGTTCACTTCATGCTTTATGATTAGACTTTAAGAAAGGAATTTATTTAATTATTTTATTGAGAATTTGTTTTTAAACTCATGCATGGGTGTGGTACTTTTACTTCTTGTTCATTGAATCATTTTTAAATCCACTGCTTAAGATGTGTTTTGTTTTAATGAGTCAGATTGTCAGAGATTTATATTTTTTTTTCTGTAATATTTATACACGATACTTGGATTCAGCAGCCTGAACTACTGTACTGACCTGAATATAGGACGACCCTGATTATAAGAATACCCCCTATTTCCAGGATCGGTTTATGGGAACAAAACAAAAAGACTAAAAAAGAAAAAAAGTCTATTTTAATAAACTAATTTATATTGAAGTGCTAACAATTTCATTTATATTAATATTGTATTGAAAGATTTGTGCAATTAAACAATAAAAAGATAAAAGAAAACACAGTAATCGCACATTTACTTGAAATCTTGCAACATTTCAAATCGATTGCAATCTGAACTCAAAAACTGCATGAGGCTTTTATTCACAGGCATCCTCTGCATCACTGCGCTCACTGTCACTCCTACTCTCACTCTGCATCTTTTTATTCAGCTTTTCTTTTTGAATGTGCCATCTTCTGACATTGCACTCTGTAATGCCGTACGTCTTTACTGCCTGACAGCTGTTTGATGCCTCCGCTGCATTGACCATTATTTTAAAAGTGGTGTCAAAGCTCCGCCTCAAATATCTGCAAACTTGTCTTACTTTTAATCCACTCCATTCTGGGCAGCGACTCTCCTTTTTTAGCAGCGGTGTCAAACTGGTTCCAGAAAGGGCCGTGTGGCTGCAGGTCTTCTTTCCAACCAAGCAATAGCACACCAGAGTCCAGTCATCTCATCAAGTCATCATGTTCAGATTGAACTCTCTTGATGAGATGACTGGAGTCTGGTGTGCTATTGCTTGGTTGAAAAGAAGACCTGCAGCCACACGGCCCTTTCTGGAACCAGTTTGACACCTGTGTTTTATAGCATCCTTGTCTCTTCTTCTCTGTTGTGATTTAAAAAAAAAAATAACCTCAGCCACAGTGAGGTCACTGGCTTTACAAAAAGCTGGCTCCCTCTGCTGTTGCGTTCGTGTAGCGACCCAAGACGACTGTCAGCCTGTATAATTGGTTAGACCTCTATTATAAGACGACCCTGCATTTTCACATAAGTTTTTAATGAAGAAGATTTAATGATTAGCCTTATGTAGAGTTATAATTTAAAATAAATGAATGCTGTAAATATATTGCTCTGTAAAATAAGGCAGTAAATAATTAGTTGTGCAGGTAAAGCGACAGGATCATAGCCTTTAAATGCTGGGCTCTGAATTTCCTAAATATTGGACAAATACAGATTTTAATGGCATTGCATAGCTTGAAAAATATGTTTTATATTAATTTCCAATGACTGAAGCTGATGCATAGCTGGCGTACAACATCTTAATGCTTTCAGATATTTATTTTCATCAAAAGCTCATCTCCAACCTCATCATCTCTTGTTTTTGTGTGTGCAGGTACCCGCAAACACAGACAGCGTCATGTGCTTCGGACCCCTCGTTCCGGACGGTTATGCCGTGTGTTACAACCCTCAGGCGGACCATGTCCACTTCTCCATCACTGCCTTCAACTGCTGCGAGGACACCAACGCAGAGACAATGGCTCGCACTATAAAGGAAACCTTGTGCGACCTGCAGGAGCTGCTGCAGCCTACCGTGTAGAGCTGCTGCTGCTCCATCAAACATGAGGAACCCTCTTTTCAAGAAGGATAAAAAAAAACTGATTTCTTAATGTTTTCTATCTCATTTATGCTTCTTGTTACTCTTCCATCAGAGCCTGAAGGCTGAACTCTGTGGCTCTGCAGTACTTTTGATATATTTTTACCTTCAGTCTTTTTCTTTCAGTATGAAACTCTTTCTCTGAGTGATTGAAAGCTGGCTGTTAATGTGAAAGCAAAAGAAAAAGCTACCTGACACTCCAGCATTAGCCAAAGCGTTAAATCTCCGCACTCCTCCTTTTACAAGTCAGAAGACGACCAGCAGCCTTTCCTGGTACTTTCCACCAGGAGATCACCATTTGCTCTGTCTGTTGTAGGTTACCGACTGTTAAAAATGGACCAAAGCAGGTTAATATTGATAAGAGATGAAGGTGTTTCTTTGTTCTGAGCTTAAAATCCATGAAGCCTTTTCTGCAAAGCAGGATATCCATCTTTTCTGGGGACATTTTTCACCAACACCTGTGCAAAATCTTGTTATTAGATGTGAAAGCTGACTTTGAACCAGTCAAACCTTGTGTCTTCATCACTGCTGGTCACACTTCCTATTTTAGACTTTTTTTAAATCATTGCTTTTGATTGTACGTATGGGCAAGTTTAGGTGAGCAGCTATTTTCTTGTACCTTTTTTTCTGATTTTGCGTTGCTTGAAAGTCCACGTTCTTTTGCCTTTCCCCATCTTGTAAAAAGAGTAAACAAGGATCTCCTGCATCACCTCTACCAAAGTAAAACTAAGTCCAGTATTACTAATTAAAGGTTCTCAAACGCTCTGGATCAGCTAAAGAAGTAGATACAGAAATTCTTCTGTTACATGTATATAATAGGAATTCTTGGACTTGTTCACCGTTGAAAAGTAGAATCAAAATGCGAATAAGGGTGATGATCATTGTTTGGATAAGATTGGTTTAATCTGGCTATGTTGAGCCTGCTTTGTAGCAGCAGCTTCTTATCTTCTGGTTATATTTGAGAGGATGATGTTTGCCCACTCCAATGGTTTTGTAGATGTTCATTTAAATCTGGCGAACTGTCTAATCCATAATAAAGGGTGTGATTATTTGATCTCCTTTTCTTTGCTGTGAGGAATAAAAACATGTTGCAGGCCAGTGTGAAAAATATTAGCCTTATTCAGCAGCCTCTTTTTTTGTAATGTTTGGACATATTAGTATTTGATATCAGCTTTAAAGATTTGAACATTTCAAATAATGTAAATAAACAGCAAAAACTCCATTTTGGTTTCTAGTGATTAAAAAATTAGGACAGCTACTTTTATTTTCACTTGTTCAGCTTATAATTACTTTTAGACTCCATTGCTCTCCATATTTAAACCTCATTAAACCAGGTCTGTTACTGACATGAAGTCAGCATGAACAACATGGGAAGATTTACAGATTCTGACTATTTAAAAGTGGAAATTAATAAAAAAAAAAAAAAAAAGAAAAGATGCAATTAGCAGAAAATGATCTGCCAGTGTTGGCATGTCTAAAATGGGTTGCAACATGTCCAATTTCGGCAATCTAAGTGAATTCACTCTGAAAGCGGATTATTACACATTGGCCTCTTCTTATTATAGAAGTTTTCACATGTAGGTGACCTGTTATAACTTACTTGTTACCGCTTACTGTATATATTTGATCAATTGGAGGGGAGTTTTAATTCTTTGTCTTTCTGATATATTTTATTTATGTTTTTTAATTCAGTTCAATTTATAAAACTGGTTCACAATGGGTCTTTTCAAGATGCTTTTACTGATAGTTTATTTAAATCATTAACATACTTTGCTACGCTATCTTTTCAGGTTTTCCAACATTTTAAACAGATTGAGCCTTAATTTCTTTCAGAATGTCTGAAGAAATTGCATAAACAAAATAAAATGCTTTAATCTTAAAGTGGTTGTTCACATAAACTTAGAAAACTTTTATTGTCATTTTGTATACACTGAGTGTATATTAAAAAACAAAACAAAAAAACAATAAGATGACTTTAAAAAAAAAATGTGAGGTCCAGTCAATAGGAAGATTGGTTTGCTTGTATTTGGAGGTGTGGGTTTGGTTGCAGCTTTTTCTGCTTTCACATAATTCCCTTGAAGAAATTTTGACCACAAATTGATTTATTTTTTATTCATTAAGGTATTTCATTGTTATACTTTTAACAGTTGGCTAAATTGGTTTCCTATTGCTTTTCTACACCTACCAGTAGAATGCAATTTAGGAATATGATTTTTTTTAAAAAAAAGTAATTTTCACAACGTTTGTAGCAGTCAACATAGCTATCAGTTTGTATACTGGAGAACAGTTGAGTTTTCAAATGAGAAATCCAAACCCTGTTAATCATTTACTTGGTCAGCAGGATTAAATGATAAAACATCCTTCCATAATACACCTGTTCCTTCCCTCTGCGTTTTTATGACTGAAATTTCCCTCTGAAATCATAAACGCTGATTGTAAGATACTAATTTAGTGAACGCTGGTGTCTATATGTAATTTGTGTATCTAATGTCCACCAAATGGCTTTCCATAAAGGAGGAGTCGTCCGTTTCCCTTCAAACTGATTGGTCGAGTGGAAACCGGAAGTTCCGTCAGCAGCGTCCGTCTCACCTTTAATTTAAAACCGGAACAAACAAGGCAGAGAAAAAGTCGATCGGTTAACGAGTTTTTTTTTAGCGGGTGTTTTTATGTGACTTCAGGGAGGAAGTGTGTGTTTAAACAGGAATTATATATATATATAAAAAAGGAAGCTAATTGTGCTTATCTGGAGAGCAGCAGACATACTTAAAGATGATTCCTCATCATTAGCTAAACTATAGTTTTATTTGAACCCAAAAGCAAATTTTTATGTATAGGGGTATATTTTAGAGGTTTTTAATTCATCCGACCTGCCATGGAGAGGTCAGTGTTTGGTCGGAGAATGAGCGGGGCTGGAGGGGTGCTGTGGCCGCTGCTCGGCGCGTGTCTCTGGGCTGCGGTGGTCGGGTATAAGCCGGTGATCATCGTGCACGGCTTGTTCGACAGTTCGGACGATTTTAAGAACTTACTGCGATTCATCAACGAGGTAAGAATTCAAAACGATGAGGAAGTGCTGGAGGGGAGCTTTAATTTCTAGAAAGTTAAATGCAACATGTTCTGCAGGCCTTGGAGTTTAAATTCATCATATGCGGCCAAACCACTGCAACCTTATAAGTTTAGAAGGTATATATACTCTTAGAAGTTACTTTATAAACAGATAAAAAAAAATTTAAGTGCAAATGTTTTCTATTTCTTTACTATCTCACTATCAGATCATTGCTTTTATTCACTTTCAAAAGCAGATAAAAAAGTGACTACTAGTTGCTGATAGATAAACACATCATTAGTGGATGGATCGAGTTATTTCCTATATTCTGTTTACTTTCTTATTATGTTCCCTTTCCTTGTTTTTGTCTATTTACTTCCCCCATTCTTTATTTATTTTGAGCAAATTTTCCTTTAATCTTTCCTCTCTATATAGTTTCTATTAACTTTCCTAACTTCTAGGAAAAATACTGTCTGATTAACTAAAACATTCTTTCCACAAAGCTGGGGACAGTCATTAAAGTATTATGAACGTATAATAATAAATACATCAAATGCGATGAAATAAAAGATGCATAGGGATACTTCAATGCAAATTGATTGTCGAGACCAATATCTGTAGTAACCAGTTTGAACAGTATGTAATGCATTCAGACATCAACATACACTGTAAAGGCGATGAAATGTTCCCCATCCTGCTTGTCTTCAGTTCTCCAAACATTGATGCATGCATTTTAAAACCCCTTTAGGGTGAGTTGGAAATGCTTAAAAAAAATAAAACAAAAACCCTTTCTGGTTTTTACTGAAACCATCAGGAAACCTAACAGATCTCAGTTCCTCTTTTTTCTTTTATGTCTTTCACATAACTTAAACCTTTGCTCCAGTGCCTTCCAACCTGAACCGATGCTTTGTTGATGCACCACATCTTTTTTTCTTTTTGTCTGTCCTGCAGTCTCATCCTGGGACCAATGTGACGGTCATCGACTTGTTCGACCGCAGTGCCAGCTTGGAGCCCATGTGGAAACAGGTGGAGGGCTTCAAAGCAGCTATTTACCCGATAATGCAAAACGCTGCAGAAGGAGTTCATTTTATTTGCTACTCTCAAGGTGAGTGACTGCAGTCCTGAAGTGCAAATAATACAGATAAAAAGGTGGTATTTATGTTGGAATGTACCATGAACTGCAGATTTGATCTAATGTAAACAGTTGAATCTCAGTTGAAAATGTCTTTCCCAGCTACAAGGTTCAACAGCTATGTTTTTGATTTTATTGCTGAATGTATTTCTTATGATGTTTGGGATTTCTGCTCCGGTCCATCAGCTCGAGACTCTCAACTTTTTGCTTTCAGTTAAAACCACAGCAGTAGAAAATTAGAAGCAGAATAGTCCTTAAGACCTTTTGGAAATTTTCTTATCAGGCCAGTTTTCTTCATTTTTTCATTTTCACAGATTTACAAATTACATTTTTCATTCCCCCTAAAAGAGCCTAAATTATTTAGACTCATTCATGCATTTTTCTTATAGATCTTCAGTTTCTCCTCTCTTAATTGGCATTTCTTAACAGGTTATAATTTAATCTGTAGTTTTTGTATGTTGGTATCTTAATGTCAATGTGTGAAACTTGCATTTTGCATAGATTGATTTCATACAGAGACACATATCTTAAGTGTTTCCTCCTTTTAGGTAGGATACTGATTAGTTACTTTCAATTAAAGCAAGGGTATGGCAATTATTGCCCCATTTTGTAATGTAATATCTAATATAATCTGAATTGAACAAAATACAACTTTTAAATCGTAGAGGCTCTCAGTTTTGGTCGTATTACATTGAACATGAGTATGGCACTGACTTTCTCCCTCCAGCCCTTTAGGTGACAGTAGTACACTTAAACTGGGTTTGCCACCTCACACAAGGGAAGATAGAGTTGCAGCTAGAGCATAGATCCAAAGTAAGCACTTTTGCACGTAACAGTAAATTTCTGTGAAGATGGCCTCAGAATAAACAAGCTTTCAAGGTCATGGAACGATAAAAACCTGCAGTGAAACATGTTTGAGAAAATTAAAATAAAATCAAAATAAAATAATAAATGCAATATCGGTTGAAAAAATAATTAGAATTTAGATTTTCTGGTAAAGAATATTACAGGAGGTCAATAATGTTAAACCTGGTACCATGACTGAACTTTATTAAGAGGGTTGTAACTACCTCCTCCAATGCTATGCTGAGCCAGTGCAGTGTTTCATGCAAAGGGAGAAGCCACCAAGTATTTGGTGCATTAACTGCAGTATACTGATTCACTGTGTAGAAGAGGAACATTCTGTATTTATAACCCTTTTATAATCCTCTGATATAATGTTTGTGTTTTCAGATAAAAGTATTCAGGTTTTGTTTTTTGTTTGTTTTTTTGCTCACTGTGTCAACCCCTAAAAAGAAAATTTTAAATAATAAGAATTTTGGAATTTTCATGAAATATGAACCAATATTGAGGGTATCAGAAATAACTGCTTATATCTTAGACTTAGAGACTTAGACAGATTTATTTTTCATTTTGTTCACACAAGTGTAAAACAAAAATAAATTTAGTTTAAAACAGCTCTATCTGGTTATATCACTCAAAGATATCTTATATCTTAGAGTGTAATGAATGTGTAGAAGATGAACTTGAGTTTTTAAGCTAAATAACATGACAGAACTCCATAAATCCTATTCAAATGAAAACTTTAAATTTAACTAAACATCCAATTTCAAGATGCCGCCATTCAATTTAATCACTAATCATTTTTTTTCCTCAGAATTGTAAGAGATGATTCAAATAATGGGGAAAAAAAATAAATTGTTTGACTAATAAATGTTTTGATCAGAGTCTCTTAAATATAACAAATGTTTTTTTTTTCTTTGTATTTGCAGGTGGACTCGTTTGTAGAGGGATCCTCTCCACTCTGCCTGACCATAACGTCCACTCGTTCATCTCTCTGTCTTCACCTCAGGCTGGCCAGTATGGAGGTGGGTCTGGTCTTATAGAAACGATAACAGATGGAAAAGGTTTATTGGGGTCTGTTTCTGTTTCATTCTGTTTTATCATCTCTTTTTCTTACCCCCTCTCAGACACAGACTACCTAAAGTACCTTTTCCCTCAGTTTGTAAAGTCAAACCTTTACCATCTTTGTTACACCGCTATCGGTCAGAGGATTTCTATCTGCAACTATTGGAACGGTGAGGCTTTGGATGTTCTGAAGAGTTCTGATCCCTCTTAAAGATGGAAAAATACCATTAATGAACCGTGTTTCTTCTCTTCTGCCTTCAGACCCCCACCACAGAGACCTGTATGTGAACAGCAGTGACTACTTGGCTTTAATTAACAGTGAGAGACCGAACCCAAATTCAACAGGTCAGACAACATTCAGAGTATCAATATAAACAGTATTTATAGTGCTTGCTCTCTTTGAGGGTCTGAGAGCGAGGCCTTTGGTCCCAGTTCAAGGATGGGTTCAATGCAGAGGTCAGATTTCCGTATAAAGAGAAAAATGGGAAATGATTTTAAGAGTAGTGTTTCCTTTTTGGGCTGTAACTGAAGTTGCATATAGTCACAGCCACATATGGTTGTCTTAAAAAAAGGTTTAAATAAGAGTAAATAATATTCTATTATCATTTTTTATCAATATCACAATAAATGCCTTATCCCCACCCCTACTGTGAACTTCTCCAGAGTCATTGTGTGCCTCTTGGCTCCTGCTCTCTGATCAGTGCACTCTTTGCCTTTGCTGACTGCTGTGATTGACGGCAGTGCCTTGTAGTTTTTTTCTCTCTGACCTGTCTGCTTTACTCCTTGGTCTGTTTGTTCGTTTTTGTGCTCTAACAAAATTCTGAGGCCAGATGCAGATCCAAAAAACAAAAAAAATAAATCCTACTCAGATGTAGGGTTGGGAATTGAAAAGATTTTCACGATTCCGATTCCCTTTTCGATTCTATGAAACGATTCGATTCTTTATTGATTCTTTTTTCGATTCCAATTTGGGGGAAAAAGGAGAACAAACAGTTTGATTATCAGCATCAACTTTGTTTACTTAACTATTGCACAATCTTACAAACTCAACAAGATCAAGATGTCCACAGGAAATGTGAAACTGGAGTAACATCTGTGTTTAAATGAAAAATAATTACAAGAACAAACTTAATAACCAACAATGATGGGATAATAACCTATTTTGAATAACAAAAAATACTAATTATAAAACAGTAGTAGAAAAAAATTAACAGTTCTTTTGCAGAAAGATGAGCATATCTGCTTTTTCTGGAAGGATACGGGATCTTTCAGCGCTTAAGGTGTCTCCAGCCGTGGAGAACACCCTCTCAGATGGGGTGGAGGAAGCCTGCACACAGAGGTAGTTTTCAGCCAGTCCAGATAGCAAGGGCAGCGTATCTTGCTTGTTCCAGCACCACAGTGTGGCGCTATCCCTGCAGGGGATGGAGGGCAAGCTTTTACAGAGCTAGATTTCCTGATCTACCCTCTGGGCTAAGGAAAGACGGGGCTTTGATTCACAAACTGACCGCAGCTCATTGTCTTCCTCCTCGAATAGTTCTTCCAACTTGCGTAACTTACGTAAAAAACCCGACGTAAGTCGTTCTCCCCAGAGCCGGCGCTTTAGGCTCTGGTGCTGCGGGAATCGAAAAAAGTATCGTTTAGCGAGCTGCCAAACGATGCCATGGAATCGGAAAATATGGAACCGGTTCTGAACAGGAACCGGTTTTCGATTCCCATCCCTACTCAGATGGGGAATATTGATTATCTAGCTTGTTATAAGAATTAATAGAGTTTAATGTCAACTTTTTAATAGTTTGTCTCTCGTCCTTTCATTTCATGTTTATGCACTACTTTACGTTGGGCGAGCTCATAAAATCTCAATGAAACACGTGGAAGTTTGCAGACGTAACATAAAAAAAAAGGTTTAAGAGATGTGAATACGTCTGCAAGACATTGTTTTTGTTCAAACTTAGGTTATGGTTTCTTAGACTAATGTTTTGTTACTTGTTCTAGAAGGTTTTTCATGTAATTTTTAATATTTATTAAAAGTTTTTACTCCATAGGAAGTGAAAACAAGGAACCCAGTTGGTAGCGTTAAACTGCAAACATTACAGACCCTGCTTTCACAGAATTGCTTTTTAAATACATTTATACTTCCACCTTTAGAATGGAAGGAGAACTTCCTGAAAATCCAGAAGCTGGTGCTGATTGGTGGACCAGACGATGGCGTCATCACCCCCTGGCAGTCGAGGTGAGCTTACATCAGAAAGAAAACGGGAATAAGATTTACTTCAGTAGTTTAAACTGAAGAGAGAGGAGATAAATTACTTTATGCATCTTCTGGGCTGGGAGGTGTTTTGTTTTCTGAGGACCAAATTTAAAGTTTAAACAAGCTTTTATCATCCAAAAATATTTTTTTTTTATATGTTTGAATTCAACTTTCAGCTTTGACACACATTCAAACCAAACAGAGGAACAGACTGGATGTAGAGAACAGCCTGGGATCCATTTTTTTTCTCACTGAGCTATCGGAGCTCATCAAAGCAGCTCAGGTTTCTTGATGAAAACAAAGTAAAACTAACTAAGTCAGCCTGACTATAACATTTGTTCTGTATTTTGTTCCGATTCTTCAAGTTTAAACGTGATTATAAGGGAATTACTCAGAGGTGCTCCACTTTTATAAATAAAGGGTTATAGTAGGATTTTATTTTTTATTAACATTCCTTACTAACTCCCTGGACACATACAGTATTTATATTGTTTTTTTAATTTGAGATAGAAAGCATAACATGCCTAAGAATTAAATACTCAAATTACAAGTTTAAGTAAAATTGTTTTTATTTTATAATCAATTATTGTACAATCCACTTTTGGGCACCCATCAAAACTTTTGACCAAAAAGGAAACTCATGGAAAGAAAAAATGCCCAAAGGGGTACACATGTCAAAAAAGGTTGGTAAATGCTGCCCTAAACCATCAGCTGAAGGTTTTATAATTTAATGTCACTTATTTCCCAGGGCTATAATAGTTTATACTCTGCTCAGATGTTTAACGGTGTTTCTTTTTTTATGAAGGGGATTTTGTTTGACTGCTTATAACCTGCTGACATTCATGTGACGCTCAGACTCTCTCATGTTTTCCAGTCAGTTTGGGTTTTATGACGACAACGAGACCGTCATTGAGATACAGCACCAGGATGTGAGTAGAAATCAGAACAAAGAAACACGTTTTCCACTGGTCACCAGTGATTTCAAGATGTGAAGGAACTATTTTTTTGAATAACTTTAATTTTAAAGACTGGATTAAATTTATTCTAGGGGCAATCTTTGAATTTAAAGCTTTACATTTATGAGTCTTTTGTATTGTGACTTTGAAAGCTCATAATGTGCTATATTCTAGTGAGTTCTGTTCTCTATTTTATTACTCAAGCTTTAAAATGAACATTGGTGAAATAGGGAGGTTAAAAAAGTCTGCATGCAGAGTTTTGTTCTTCCATCCTGAGCTCTCTTGTTGAGAAAAGTCAGGCGGTGTTTGAACCCCTGCAGTCAAAGCTCATATTAATTCATTGTGTTTTCCCCTGCAGCTGTATCTGAAAGATGTATTTGGCCTGAAGACACTAGCAGCCCGTGGAGATCTGATCTTCTGCTCCGTTCCGGGAGTCCAACACGTCTGGTGGCATTCGAATGAGACGGTGTTCCACACCTGCATAGAGAAGTGGCTGGTGTAGAGACGCTCACACAGACAGATTCTCTATAGTTGACTTTCTCCTCACAAAAATACAGCAATCTCCACAATCCCAGTTGTTTCAACCTAAGGGAGGAATCTCATTTTGTGCTGTCTCTTGATAGATTTTTGCTTTTGCACAAAAAAAAAAATATTTATGTGCTTATGTTTTAAATTAGTTTTTAATGTATTTATTCTTCAACCGAGACTGCAGAGAGTAGAAGGGAGCCTTGTTTTAAAATTTGCACAGTCGATATAAAGCTACAGTTAATGGTTTACCTCCCTCTGAGACAATGTTCAACAAAACCTTAATATTTTACACCAGAAATGTCTAAAATATGGGATTTTTAGAGAGGAAGTTGCTCTGCCAAACTTCTAAGACAATATAAAATATGTTTATATTTAGTCTTCAGAGCTGAGAGGCACAGAAACTCTTGGATGTGAACCCTGTTACAGAGTTCAGAAGAATCTTCCAGTATCAGTAAAGTGTTAAACATGAAGTCAGCGATGCTAGAAAGTATTTAAAAGTAAACATTTACAAATGTCATGGCATGCATTTAGTTCATTTTTGAGAGAACAAGACAGGCAGCAGATAACAGGAAGGTTAACCGTAGGTTTAGTTAGCCTTGCTGCCTGCATAACCGCTAATATATGAAAGATAATTTAAGCTGTCTACTCCAATCATTTCAGGTATTGAATAATAACGGCCGCTCAGTTTAGAGGCTAGAAAGAAATATTTTGATACCTTTATATTGGGCTGTTCTATAATTCTTAAAGACAAATTGGATTATCCATGGGTCAAACATGTATTAAAAAATATGAATCAAAGACAAAAATAGTTTGTTATATCTCTAGGTACTCTTTTGCTATTAACATTATGACACAGACAGCCACGTGTCAAGATGTGAATCCAGCCAGCTGCAAGTTTAATCTCCAGACCTCCAGGAGTGAACTTAATCTCAGTAACATATTCCTATGAACTTCTCCTTTCAGAGCTAACTGTATTTTTACAGTTAAACAAAATTCAAAAACGTCTTTATTTTAATGTAATCTTTTAAGGTGGTTTGTCATTTTGATGTTCATCCACTTGAAATCCAGGATAAAATTAAACAATAACATTTAAGTTTATGCATAGATATAATTTGGATTATGAAATCATGTTATGGTAGTTATGGAATGGGTTGTTCCTTTTAGATCTAGAGGATTTATCCTCTAAGTTCAGAACACAGCTGGAAATTTTAGGAAATACTTTAATTTGTTCTGCCAATTGGACTAAATTGGACCTTAAAGAGAAATTTGGTTGTTAATCTGTTATATAAGAGAGTGGCTGTTTTCACACCATGCTAACAAATTTTAATAACAGAGACGGTGATATTTTAGCAGTTATAAAGCAGATATTTGAGCAGTTATAAAGCACAAACAACTATCAGCTGCCACGTCTGCATTTTGACCCATGGGTGGAGAGACAGATAAAGCCTCCTAACAGATGCTGGCTTGCAGTTTGTAGCACAGACAGAAACCTGAACTGTTGGATGAAGTGGTAGATTCACTCCATTACCAAGAAGATAATAAAACAACGTTATGGCTCTTTTTTTATAAATCCTGTTTGATCTGCCTTTATGGAATTCAAACCCAAGTGTTTATTACCCATACAGCTGATATTTGCACCTTTTTGTTAGCATGAATTGCTATTATATTTATGTAGACAGTCATTTGCGTATTTTAGCGTGTCCATTAGACATATCTCAACAACACCATGCAAACCCAATCGTGCCTAAGCGACCTGCTGTCGTACTGTACAGATGATTACTGCCCTGCTCATCTTGTGATGCAGACATTTATACCATCTTTAACTAAATCTAGACCTTTCTTATTCTTTTATTGTTGTTGTTCATGAACGATCTGATCATTAGTATCAGGTTTGTTTGTTTATTTCTCAGCTTCATGCAGTACTTTAGAAATCTTCTTCCACTTTAGATAAAGCCTTAAATGTTTTTTCCTACATGCCTCAGTGTTTCATGTCCAAAGTGCTCTGACGCACTGCCTTCAGTGACGGTGCTAGAAAAAAAAAACACCCATAGTTTATCTAAGAAAATCTGGGAGCAGATGCAAAGCAACCAGTCAGGCAGTGCTGTGTTACAGGTCTGCTAAAAGCTTACAGTTCTGGTCAGACATCTACGATACATTCCTCATGGGCATATGTTATTAATCATGCGTTATCTTATCGGAACCAGTGTTTGTCCAAGGTGCAATGGAAACAACACATGCAGCTTTAGTGGAAAAAAAAAAAGAAGAAATAAATGTATGGGTGGGTTAATGCAAGTAAAAAAGGAAACAAATGACTTTTTGTTACCATCAACAAGCTTCTCAAATAATATTTGTCTAATCTTCTTTGTATTTCTCATTTAAGATCGTTGCTTTCCAGGCATGAAGCTGGTTCTTAAATAGTGTAAAAATATTTCCAGGAGGTATTCACCTGAATGTTGGCCTCCTTCAGTCGTTCCAGTAGGTTTTTTTATTTTATTTTTTTATCATTTCCAGCTGAAATTATGTGAAGAGGTAAGGGCGTTTGGGAATAGTTCTGCAGTAGCATATGTAGCAAACTAGGGCTGCAACTAACAATTATTTTGCAAATTGATTAATCTGTCAATAATTTTTTTCGATTAATAATCTGATAGCAAAAGGTAAAGAAGATTTTTTATGAATATAAACCAGGTGAAAGTAAAATTTTTCCGCTTGAGGAGTTCTGGATAGAGCATGTTTACAATTATTTCAAATATTTACATTATTATTATTTTTTTTAGGCATAATTACTGCTCTAAGTGGGTTGTTCTCACAGCTAAAGGCAGGTTTTACAGTCTCTATACTCCAGTTAAATATGAATCGATTACTAAATTCGTTGACGATTATTTCAATAATCGATTAATTACGATTGATCTGATTAATTATTAGCAAACCAACCCATATCATGCAGTTGCCAAAACCTTACTTTTATAAATGGTGCTTTGATTTAAAAGCCTCATTCTCCCTCATCCTTGCATTCTTTTTGTCACTATGGCCAAGTAGCTGTATCTATGTGCTCATATTCGTAAGGTTATTCTTTAGTCAGAATTTGGTTTATCCATTTTGGAAGCTTCAAATTAAGATAAAAGCTTAAGTTTGACTATTTTCTCCTCTACCCTGACCACAGTGATGCTAAATTTGCCCTGTTAAACTGTTACCCTTGAATCTTTCCGTACATGATAGCCTTAACTCGTAAGGTTCCTGAACAATAAGATCAATTCCCTTTTAACTGATAAGTTTCGGGTGAAATTGTTGGTTCTTAGATATTATGGGTTGTTTTAACAGGACACTGATTGCAAAAAAATCAGAACAGGTTTTTAAGTGGATAAAGAAGGCTGACGGTTCTGAAAGAGAAATTGCGAAGCATAAAACGAGAGAAATTAGATAGAAAGAAAAGAGGTCTAAAGGGGAGCGGGTATTGATTCAATTAGCAGAGGTTTACGTATAAAATTGAAGCTGTATTTAAAACTTTGATCATTTTGAGTATTGTTTAAAACAACTATTGAATCTTTGACATAATTCAACCCAGAAATAAAATTTGGTCAACCTGCATAGTTTTAAAAACCCTAAGATTATTGCACCAATGTTTATGATGAGGGATGATTGTTCAAAGGTCTGAGCAGAACTGTAGAAGCTGTGTTTTTACCCTCCATCACATTTAGATGGCTCAGGCATTTCTGTGATTTTTAATTTATTTTTTTTAATATATATTAGAAAAGGGAATCCTTTTTCCACAAAATTGGTTACATGTTTAGTTTGCTAATTCTGCAAAGTTCTATTCTATCTATATTTATCAAAAGAAGGGATACAGAAATGTGTTTTTTGATGTTTAGAGAAGGAAAATATTGATTGCACAAGGAACTAGAAGGGAACTCATCAACATAGCATGTTTTAAATGTGTTCAAAGCTGCTGAATGGCTAGTATTATTTTTGAAATATTGTTTCCTACATAAAACTCATGACTAAAGGGATGTCCTTTTTGTTTCAGTTCTGCTTTTACTACCAGGTACTGTAAATAAGTAACCTTTTAAAACTAGAATTACTATTTTGAACGTTTTTACAGTGTCCTTCCAAGATAAAAAAAAAAAAGTAAAAGCTGTAATTTTCTCAATAAATCCCTGTTTAAACATGAAGTTTGGTTTATTTTGTCTTTATCCAGCCAGTTTTCACAAACCCTTATTTCAAAATGCAACTAGACGATAGAAGATAAAGCAACGGAAGAGGGCTCAGACAGGAGGCAAACACTCCCCCGACCAGAGGAGCTCTATTCTGCAGCAATGAGATATTCCAGCTATCAGTTTTATTGGATAAAGAAGACCTTAATCAACTTCTACATAACACTGACATCTGCCTTCTGGAGGATGAGCACAGTGATTATTGGTTGCTATGCTCATCGACCTACACTTATTTCCCCCCTTTATATCAGGGGCCAGAGTAATGGGGCCAATCAAATAAATGTGAATAAAGTATTCATTTTTAACACTTTGTTCTAAACCATTTTTTTTGGCAATGAGATTATGGACATCTCCATGTGCAGTGTTTCCTTATTTTTAATGCTGTGCAGGGCTTTTCCTGCAGTGGGTTTCAGCAGGGGCGGAGCTAGATGGGGGGCCGTGGCCACCCCTACAGTTTTCCCCTCTAATACAGATGGTGGTAGCAGTAATACTCTCAAGTGGAAGATTCTAAACATAAAATTTTTTTGGTGGTTAATTATACACATCAATATACTAATATCAATGATGATAAATACAGAATTCATGCTCTTCAGAACTAGATTTTGTGTTATATGGGGTAAAGACAAGATGTTTCTCTGCAAGTCACTGGGAGTCTTCAGTGAAATCATAGATAAATAACTACTTTAAAAAAATTATCAATTTATATAGATATTAGTGCTTGTAAATATCAATTTTAAGCAGAATGTTTATTGATACAAGTATGTAATAAATGACGATGGAAAATATTTATGCCCCAAAACTGAAATAATATTATCCACTATACCATTTATTTAGAAAATATGGATGTTTTTCTTGTTAATTTTCCTTTTGGAACAGTGTAGATTAACCCTGAGGATCTGGCGCCCATCTGCTTTCAGACACCCCTTAGTGTACATTGGTTATTGCCTGGCCACCCTTATAAAAATTTTCTGGCTATGCCTCTGGGTTTCAGTTGCTTTTTGTTTTGTATTTAACAAGTGAAGTCTATTCTATTTTCATAGTTAATGAGTGACTGGCTTGGCCATTACCCTTATATGCCTTAATAAACTCCTGGGTTGCTTTTGAATTTACGTTTTAGATTCTTGTCCATCTGTATTGTGAAAAGCTGGCCAATCAGTTTGGCTGGAATAAGAATTTATCAGATTTCAAAATCCAAAGTTGATGTGTGATGACACTAGTGGTCGCTACTGAATTCCCTTCGGGGTTTTATTTAAAAGAAAATTTAAAATGATATGTGTTATATATTAAGTTAACTATAAATTATAACCAAACAATATATTTTTGCATGTTAATAAGTAAAATGCAAAGAAACACAACTTCCCATAGTGCTTTGCGGCCGCGGCACCACGACGGATATCCGTCGGCGGCGCCACGCACGGGCCCTTTTCCGTCTCAGAGAAGTGTGGTACAGAACGGCAGAAACTAGTGAGTAAAGAATTACGCTTATTTATTTCTTTACATATCGAAATAACACGTCCGCGTTAGCATTTGTTTGTATTTATAACTACACTGTTTCGTTCATTAACGAAGAAAGCGAACATTTTTGCTGCACACGGGTTTTATGTATTTAGAACGTTGCCTCGTTAGCATGTTGCTAACCCGTTAGCACATGTGTCCACGGCACGTTGAGCCGCAAAGCTAGTGGAAGTTAGATTTAGCACATTTTATGCTGAAATCCACTACACGTTGTTTTTTTAAAACGCTATTTCTGTGTGATTAGCAGCTACGGAAGGCCGTTAAACGGTGGTAATCGCAGCGCGTCTTATATTGCCGAACCTATTTGCTGTGAATGTTAACGGGCTTCTGATGCGGCCTTCTTCTTTTGGGAAGTCCGAATCAACACGCTGCCCCATCTATTTGATTCTAAGCAGTTAGATGGACATTTTCTGTGTACTCGTGTTTAATGTATGTATTAAATATTTTTAAATATTTAATACATACATTAAACTAACAGACTGTAGCTAACAGACTGGTCGTTACAATGTTGAGCCGTCTTCTAAAACTAAAGATCAGTAGTGTTTTTTCCGTCCATGGTCGCTTTCCAGCAAAATTTATTAATTATTTTTCAAACTTTGCAGTCCTATTGAACTGAAGCGTTTTTTAGCAATAGAAATGTAATCTTGTGCGAAGCTGACACCCACTAGTCATCGGTCATATATTTTTTATTTTGAGATTATCCATAAACCATTGATCCACCTTTGTTTAAAAGCCCCTCTAGTTACATTTCAGGCCTTGGGGAAATGGTTCATAATTATTTTAGTGCAAGAGAATGTTGTGATATGAAGACTTTTTAGACTTATTTTATGTACTGATGTCAACTTGTGCATACATTCTTTAAAAGTCTTTCTTAAATATGTCAAGATAAATAATTTTTATCTTTTGTCCTAAACATCTGTTTTATTTACACATGTTTAAACCCTACTTAATGAAATTTTTTTTTGAAATGGTAGATGGCTGGTATTTATATTGAGAACTCTGGATTGTTGAATCTGGAGAGCTACTGGGTTGTCATTGGACTGTTGTTGAAACCCTCTTCAAAGACACATTTAAAGTCGTAGGGAAGTCGTATTTAAAATCATTCTGGCTTAAACATGTTTACAGATGTATTCTTTATCAGACCATATTGTCCCAAAAGTTAGAAAATGTCTTATTTGAAAAAAAAAAAAAGAAGAAATCCTGTCTTAAAAGCTGTGGGTTTTTTATTATGCCAGTTATAGGTCAGCTTGTACACCTATATTCAGCCAATCATATCAATGGCCATCTGTCAATTTTTTTTGGTCATAGCATCTTGCCTCACATGTCACAGGTAATATACGCAACAGTTGAAATAAGAATCATTTACTTGGGATGGCCGTCTGTGTCTTTGGCAGATTTAGAGCAGATTTAGAGACTCATCCATTTCCCATTGGGAACCTACTAGCACTAAGTTGCTAACTGGTTAGCAAGATGCTTTCGAGACATTGGTCACAATCAAACATGCTTGTGATCCTTCCACTACAACAATCCCGCCCCCTTGATAATCGACCGATCACTTTCAGTTTATTTACTTGTGTAAAATCGGGCACCACTCAGGAGAATTCAGAAATGCAACGGTTGGAACAGCTCTTTTCCTGCAACTTTAAAATATGTTTGACATAAATAATTTAATACAGTTTTGTGGCTTTAATGCAAATCTTTTCCTGTCCCCTCAGTGACCGAGTGGGAGACTGCCCCCGCTGTGGCTGAGACCCCAGAGATCAAGCTCTTTGGCAAATGGAGCACTGATGACGTCCAGATCAACGACATCTCCCTGCAGGTAGGGATCAAAAGATCTCTTTTCAGACAAAGTCCCTATAAGCGAGGCTAGAGTCACGTCTGGGTATTTTACTTGTTGCCCTGGCGTGCTAGAGCACTCGTAGAGGAAATTCTTTGCTTATTCATTGGCTGCAGTCTTACGTGGCCCAGTCAATCACCAGCTCAGAGACACTACATACCAGCTGGACACATGTTTCTATGATTTTTGTAGTGTCTAAAGGCATCTCTTTCCTTCAGGATTACATTGCTGTTAAAGAGAAGTATGCTAAGTACCTGCCACACTCTGGAGGGCGTTACGCTGCTAAGCGTTTCAGGAAGGCCCAGTGTCCCATTGTGGAGCGTCTGACCAACTCCATGATGATGCATGGACGCAACAACGGCAAGAAGTTGATGACTGTGCGCATCGTCAAGCACGCCTTCGAGATCATCCACCTGCTGACTGGAGAAGTACGGTCTTTTTTTAAGTTGGATAGTGGGGTCTAATGATTTGTTTCTCTAGTTTCAGGCAGGTTAGCAGTGATACTTTTGAAATTGTCTACGTTCATAATTTTCTTGGATGTAATCTGTTTTGATTTGAGTCATGAATGTTTAGATTAGTAGTGCCAACATTGTTCAGCATGTAGCTCTTTTAATGACTTAAAGTCGACACATTCAGTATTTTAATTAGTTTCAAGTTTTTGTGAGATTTAGTCCAGGTCTGTTTTTACTGTCCACCAATTATCAGTATTTATCCAAGGGTTTTTCTGCATTCAAAGCCTGGCTCGTGAAACTATATGAAACTCTAAAAATGAAAATATTCTTGAATAGCAGCTAAAATCTGAAAAATGAGTCTGAAAAACCATTAATATTTCTTTAAAGGAGCCATAACCTGGTATTTTACACATATAATCCTCAAGTTGTCTTGACTAATCATTATTTTCATACCCCTTTATTTTTATTTTTTCTTGCAAGGAATTTAACAGGTGTGTTCACTCATTTGTCTGAATATATAATTAGCAACGTTAGCAGTTTGCAGTCATTGCATTATTATGGTTGTTGCATCATTGTTTCCTAGTCTCCAAAAAGATAAAAAAGCAGCACCATGATAGACTAACACGATGAAAGCAAAATGACCTGTTGGTGTCCTGTTTTAAACGATGTCATTCAAGGAGAAGGGATCAAAACTCTCCGTGTAGAGGGCAATCTTGTCAGCGTTACTGGTTGGAACCAAGAGTCATTTAAAAAAGTTTTTTAATGCTCTGGAGTTTTCCGACGGTTTTAACTGAAGTTTAACACGCTTTAACATGAGTCAGTTTAATGGGTAATGACCCCAAACAATTAACCTCTATAGGAAGGGAGGAAATAAATATAATTTCACACTGAATATCAATTGATAGCAGAATATAGGAAGGGAGGAAATAAATATAATTTCACACTGAATATCAATTGATAGCAGAATATAGGAAGGGAGGAAATAAATAT